CCCTCTCCACTCGCACCCCCCCACCTGTCTCCGGGGCCGCGTGTGGTGGCCGCGCCCGGCGTTGGGGGTCCTGGGCCCGGCGCGCGCCCTGGCCCGGCCCGCTCACCTCGCTCTGAAGGTCAATCCGTCCGCCGCCTGCGCCCCGCGGTTCCGGCAACTTCTCCCAAGTTCGGGTGCCCGGCCCGCAAACTGCGCGCGCCGCCCGCTCCCGGGCTCCTGGGGCTACGCGCCACCGGAGAGGCCCCACCCCTCCCGCACACCCTGCCCGCTGCTGTCGGCGCCGCGGCTCCCTGCGTCCCGCCCGCCGCCGCCTCTGCTGTCACCGAGCCCCGCGCCCGGCGCCCGGCCTCCGGCTGTCACTGCGCGCCTACTTCCCGCCGCGCCCGGCAGAGGGCAGCACCCGCCCAGCGGCCCGTCCCGCCCCCTGCCGCGGTGCGAGGAGGGAAGTGTAGTCCTCTCCACCCTGCGCTAGGCACGCCGGGGTTTGTAGTCCCCCCCATGGGCCAAGGGCTACAGAGATTCAACCTTCGACTAAGAAGTTCTGTTCCGCTTCTGCTCTTTTACAAGTTTTGTCTCTTCTCATTCAGTAATGTCCTGAACTACGACTCTATGTTATCTCCTGTGGCTGTCTGATCCCCAAGAAGGAGCTTGTATGCCTCAGCATACTTTGTTTTTCCAGCAATGTATGAGGAATGAGGTGGTGTACTGTTGCCATAGACCGCTAGGCGGTAAACCCGTTTCTCCCCTGGTTTGAAGAAAAGTGCGGGACCCAGCTCTTACCCTTTAGCCCTGCCGCTGCATATGAGGTCATAAGAGATCTGTGAAATATAAGTGCAAGATAGAGCCTGCCACCCGCACACACAGGTCCTGCTGTGGGGTCTTCCGTCTCTCTCTCTCTCTCTCTCTCTCTCTCTCTCTCACTCACACACACACACACACACCCACACACACACACGCAGAGCATCCTGGTGCCCCGCCACCATGTTGCTGTTCAGAATATTTCTCATCTCCTTTCTTGTCACCACCCCCTGTCGGAAGTCAAGGGTGCAAAGCCATCATCTTTGCTTTGTGAGCCTCTGCTTGGTCTTCCCTCTCCCGCTCCTTCTCCTCTTCCTTTTCTCTCTCTCCACAGCACTTTGCCCCAGGTTTCTGAGGCTTTGCTAGGACGCTCCTAAGGAGAACCCAAGCAGGACTCGTGCTGAGTTGGTTACAGCAAGAGATTTCCACATGAATGCAAATCAATCAGTCCCTCCCTCTCTCTCTCTTTCTCTCCCTGTCTCCCTCCTCCATAGCTGAGAGTTGGACTGCCTTGAAACACAAGTGCTTGGACCTAGGTGTTGTCTGGGTCAAAGTGCAATCAGCCTGCCTCAGCCCTGACCTTCTGAAGCCCTCCTTCGAGTCGTTTCTGGAAACATCTTTCCTCCTCAGGGACCCTACTACGACTGTGCCAGACACACAAAGGCACATAGCATCATTCACGAAATTCCAGCCAAAACTGATTAATACTGAGGAAATGGACTCCCGTGTGTGGGGTGGACACCTATGGTCCTGATGGAGTCTGGCGGAGTCTGGTAGAATGGGTGGGCAGGGCATTTCTGTCAAGTGGGGGTCATTTTTCCACCACAAGCCCCCCATGCCATTACCCCGTCTTCCCTTTCTGCAGGGAAGCTGGGAGCACACTCCAAGCTCCGAGCCGTACAGGGCCTCTCCCCACACTCTGCCCATTTCTCCTAGAATCTGTGACCCGCCAGGGAACCTCCCAGCCACACACACATAGGCGAGACGGCAAGATTTGCCCCGTCCTTGTCCCCAGAACCAGGATGCCTGCCAGCCCATAATTCCCTTCCAAAAAAAACACGCTGGTCAACATGGAAAACTATTTATTATTAGAGAAAGTCCAGGGTCCAGCAAAGGGGAGCTGAACCCAGGAAGGGGAGCACAGAAGGAAGCCGCACAAGCTGGGGCCCCAGGAGCAAGGTGTCCAGGGTCCAGGCAGCTCGTCTAGGCAGCAGGGGCAAAGCCCATTCTGTTGTTGCCCATGTCGTAGATGGAGTAGTAGGACCTCAGGAAGACGTCCCCAAGGATCCAGAAGGGCTGGCCATTATCAGAGGACAGGTAGGTGGACTCGAGCCCCACCATGCAGGACTGGTCTTCCTGTTCAACAGAAAGGCCGCTCTTGGTCACTGGCTGCCACGTGCACAGGCAGTGTGCAGCCCTGAGCCCTGGGTCGGGGAACAAGTTCCGAGCTGGGAGACCTGCGGGCCAGCTGACAGCCAGAGCCACTCCCTACACAGGAGCCGTCTCACGGGTCCCCTCCTGCTCCTGGTTGGCAGCAGCTCAGTCTGATGGTCGAGCTAAGAGCCAGACCAACTTGGATGCGAACTTTGGCTTCGCCCGGATGAGCTGGGTCGGCTGGGCTCAGTTACTTAACCTCTCTGAACCCCCAGGATTTCACCTGCACCCTCCTCCCCGCCCAGGCTGGTGGCTCGGCCCCCAGGGACCAGGACTCACGTTGAGGATGTAGGCCGAGGGTGGCAGAGGGAACTGCACACCACTGATGACGAAGGTCAGGGTGGGGAGGTTCTGGACGCTGTTACAGTTCACAAAATACTGCAGGGAGGAACAGACCCAGGTCACTTCACAGACCCCCAGGGAGCCCCCACCAAGCCCGCCTCAGCACCCCAGCCCCGGCCCAGCCCCAAGCCGCTTGTGGACGGAGGGTGTTGCTCCCAGGACAGTCCTACATAGATAACCTGGGTCACACTTGCAGGGCTGTGTAGAAGGGGTAGAATTAGGGGAGATCTGAGCATCTGCTCCACCCCAAAATGTTCCTGAATTTCCCCTCTGAGAGGCTGAATCATTGCCTTTTCTCTGCAAATGTCCTTTAAAAGTACAAACGTGAGCCGGGGATACAGCTCAGTGGCAAAAGCACCTGCCTTGCAAGCATGAGGTCATGAGTTGGATTCCCAGTACCATAAAAAAAGAAAAAAATTAAAAAGAAAACAGTGGAGATGTGAAGCTAGTGTGGTGTACACTGAGGCAGAAGGACTGGCGTTTGAGGCCAGCCTCGGATACATAGTGAGTTCAAGGCCAGGCTGGACTACATAGAGAGACCCAGTCTCAAAAACAAACAAAACAAAACAAAAATACTGTACAGATCTGAGCTGGGCCTGGGGGCCCACACCTGTAATCCTAGCCTTCAGGAGGCTGAAGCAGGAGAATAGCCAACCTGAGCTACATAGTCAGTTCAAGAGAAGCCTGAACTACATAGCAAGACCCTATCTTTAAAAAAAAAAAAAAAAAATGGGGGCCAGAGATATAGCTCAGCAGCACAGTACCTGCCTGGCAAGCACAAGTTCCTGAGTTCAATTCCCGGTACAAAAAAAAAAATTTTTTTTTAAATACAGATCTGGCCAGGTGTGATGGTGTTGCCTGTCATCCCAGCACTCAGGAGGCTGAGGTAGGAAGACTGCTGATAATTCAAGGCCAGCCTAGGCCGCATAGTGAAACCCTGTCTCAAAAAGACAAAAAAGAGTACAGATCTGCAAAGAAAGTGGTCCACTGGTCCTCTAAAGTGGGTGGGGATGTACTAAGGGAGTGGGGGGATGCTCTGTGGGGCTCAGGGTACAGGCGTAGGCCTATGGAGGTAAAGGGGGATGTGTTAAGGGGTGTCCCTCATCACTCACCTCCTGGGCCCCACATTTCTGCCGCTTTGCCCTCATCCCAAAGCCCAGCAAGCATTCATTCAGCACAGAGGAAATTCTTGCGTGCCAGGAGCCTCTTGTGCCCCGGTACTAGAGCACACCTCCCCAACAGGGAGCTTGGTGTCCCAGGTCCCCCACCTCCAGAGCCATGGGCACCCAGGACCACCAGCACAAAGACTGAGGCTGCTCTGTGTCCCCGGGAGAAACCCCAAATGACTCTGAGCTGCCTCCCTGGGGAACGGGGCATGCCCCAGACGCACCTCTCCGTACTCGTTCTCCTGGGCCCCTATGGTCTGCATCAGGGTGCTCAGGTACTGCTGGGGCACGGTGAGCAGTGAGGTACCTGTGTCCACAATGCCCTGGCAGCCTTGGGCGCACCAGCCAGACCCAGTGCCGTCAACGAGGAATCTGAATGGAGAGCAGACGGCAGCCTCAGGCCCAGCTGTCAGGGCGGTGGGGCGTGTGTCCCACCACCAAGGAGCCCCAGCCCTGGGCCCCAGAGCCAGGCCCAGCTGGGGCAGCCAGGATCCTGCCTCACACTGTCCTGAAGGCTACCAAGGCCACTTACAGTTAGTTCTCAAAAGTTTCCTGAGCCAGGTATGGGGGCATTCATTCTCATCCCAGCCCTCAGGAGACTGAGGCAGGAGGATCACCTCAAGTTTGAGGTCAGCCTGGGCTACCTAGTAAGTTCAAGGCCCGCCTTACTACACAGTGAGACCCTGTCTCCCAAGACAAGATAAAACAGAACACAAAAACCCAGAAAACAAAAGCTTCAAGGAAGGCCCTAGCAACACTGAAAGCCAGGGCCTCAGATTCATTATAAGACCTTTGAACAAATTAGTCCCCCAACTCGCAGCTTCTCACTTGGGCCGGTGTCATCAGCACCACATCGCCCCTGCCCACTCCTGTCCTCCAGCCCGAGCTGGGCTCTGAGGCACCCTGAGGTCGGCTGGAGCACCGGGAGGCCAGGCCTCTGCGTCCTCTGTGCTCCCCGCCCCCAGCCGTGCCAATGCCCACTCTGAGGGGGACCACGGCCTGGGCCACCGCAGACTCACTCTTCAATGCCGATCTGCCAGTAGAGTTCCTGGGTGACCGGCGTCCAGGAGATCTGCCCCGAGTACAGGCTCTCGTCCACGCCGCCCAGGATGAGCGCGCCCCCGTCCGAAGAGCCCTGCTGGCTGTGGGGACAGGGAGTGTGGTCAGAGAGAGGGGGGACAGTCACACGCTGGCAATCAGGGCTCCTTCCCGGCTTCAGAGGGGGTCCCCAAGGGTGGACTGTGTCCCCCTCAGACCGGGCTGTCTCTGCAGCCCTCTCAGAGCCCCCAGTGCCGCAGGCTCCTGAATGTGCTGCCTCTGGGAAGCGGTGGGGGGGGGGACACTGCTCACCCTTGGGTCCCACCCCACCTCCTCTGCCTGTCATTCATGCTGCTGGTGAACTTGTCACCTGGCCCCCCACCCAGTCTGTCACTGCTGTGCTGGAACTGGAGGGGACAGAGAGTTGTGGGAGGGCAGGAGAGGCTTCGCCCTCCGGTGCCCCGGGCAGCGCTTCTCCAGGTGAGGAGCAGCGGCAGGAAGCGAGGCGGGGCGTAGCGCGGGCTGCCAGCGGGCCCTAGCAGGTGGCTACTTCTGAGAAGGAGGAAAGAAAGGGAGTCCCTTGGCACTGAGCGGCCAGGCCTGACTGTGCGGCGAGGACTCAGTCCCCGGCTTTGCCCTGGAGACTCCAGGATGGCTGGGAGGACAGATCAAAGGAGATGACGCCGCAGATTACCACACAGAGAGGCAGGCGCGGGAGCCGGCCCAAGGAGCGCTGGGAGCCAGAGCAGGCTCAAAGTTCAGAGGAAGTGGGAGACTCTCCCGTGGTTGAGTGGCCGGAGACGGTGTGGGGGTGGGGTGGGGCCACTTCAGAAGCCCAGGCTGGGTCGCCTCAGTTGTGCAGAGTGACTGCGTGTGGGTCGGGGGCTGGGGACACAGGCAGCCACTCACCTGCCCAGGTAGACGCTGAAGAGGTTCTGGGAGAGGGCTCCCTCCCGCAGCAGACCCTGCATAGCGGTGGTGGCGCCCCCTGCGGACAGGGCGGGGTAGCCCAGGCCCATGATGCCCTCGAACTGGGCGTAGACAAAGGCGCTGCCTGGCTCTTGCTCACTGAGGCCAAACTCCTGCTTGGGGACCTGAGTTTCTTGGATCTGGGGGGTGGGGACACAGGACAGAGGAGATGACAAGTCCGATGGCACCCACCATCCCCAGCCCATCCGGTAGAGCCCCTTCCAGGGCTTTTTTTCATCCTCCTTGATGCACCCCCTCCTGTTTTTGTTTATTTGTTTGTTTGAGACAGGGTCTCACTATGCAGTCCAGGCTGGCCTTGAACTCACTATGTAGCCAAAGCTGGCCGGCCAAACTCACAGCAATCCTCCTGACTCAGCCTCCCGAGCGCTGGGACCACAGGGGGTATACAGCCTTGCCCCATTTGTTTATTTCTTGAGACAGGCCCCACTGTACAGCCCACACTCAAACTCTCCATCCTCCTGCCTCAGCCTCCTGAATGCTGCCATTACAGGTTGTGCTACCACGCCCGGCAGCCGCCCTGTTGTGACAGGTCTGACAAGAGCCCCCTCTTCCTAGAGGCCGTCCCTGACTGCCTCCGTGCCACGCCTCCATCTCCTTCCTCTCTGCACTCCCCAGATTCAAGCTTTGGAAGGACCACGTCATCTGGTTCCTCACAGTGTCCCCCGGGCCAGGCACAGGGCGGCCCTCAGAGTGTGACAGCGGGGCCTGGACGTGGCCTTATCATACTGACTTCCTGTCCACGGCATTTCAGAGGCTCCCCGAGGGCCCATGCCTCGCACACCCCTGTTGCACTCACGGTCATTGTGTCGTAGCCGAATAAGCCGGTGAGGCTGCCGGAGCCGTACTGCAGGGAAAAGGACTGGCCGGCAGAGGTGTAGGTGGAGGACTCGTTGGGATTGAAGCGCGGGTGAGTGGCTGTGGGCAGCGGGGCATGGCGCTCAGGCTCCATCGCTCTCAGGCCTGCAGGGTCCCCTCTTCCTCCCTTAGCACCCCCTCCAGGGCTACCAAGTCAAGGGGGCAACTAGGGCTCCCAGGCTGGATCAGGGACCAGGCCAGCTGACAGAGCCGGGGGCGCCTGGGCTGCGGCCTCCCTGGGGGCCGGGTGGCCTGGACTCCGTGCCTGCAACCTGACCCCAGCAGACGCCACATCCACTGTGCACACCGCGACGGGGTGGACGGGCCTTGAGGCGTTCCCCTTGCCCCCACCCTGTGTCCACCAAGAAGCTGGGTCCCCACATAGCATAAGCTGTGCCCGAGGAGGGGACTCTTGCACCAGAGATATCAGGACACAGACCCCAAGGCCCTGCAGGGGCCAGCACTGAAGTGGCTACCATCTGTCTCCCAAGCCATGACAGGGCAGGACCAGTGCTGTCCTGTCCTTTGGTGACACTCGGGGAAGTAAGCAGGGGGGCGTAAAATGGGACGCTGCAGAAGCGGCACGATGGAGTGGCGTGGGAATCTCTTAAGAGGAACTAAACGGCTTCACCAGCGTGGGTGAGGTGGCCGGCATCCACACCGGAGTCCATATTGATCCACACAAGTCCCCGTCCTCCTGGGGGTGAGACCCCCCCCAGCACCCCCACAGGGTACTCACTGCAGGCCAGGCTCTTGCAGTAGATGGATGGCACCCACAGGTTGGAGGAGCCAGTGTCAAACAGGACCTGGAAGCTCTGCGGCGGTGTTCCAAGGCTGATCTCGCCAAAGTAGGAAGCCTGGGGGCCGTGGGTGGCTGTCAGCACCCAAAGGACCCAGAGCCCAGGCAGCTCCGCAGGCAGAACAGCCGAGGGAACGGCCACCCCGCAGCCCACAGAGGTCCGATCTTGCCTGACTCCCTCACACTGACCTGGGGTGGCCCCCAGGGGCTGCTCTGCTGGAGCAGCTGGGGACAGCTCCCCGACTGCCCTTCATAGTGGCCCGCAGGCAGGGAGGGAAGTGGCCACAAGCCTCAGGGTAGGAAGGCAAGGACAGGGACACCCCGGGAGGGCGAGGACTTACATCCATGTAGGACATGGGCTCAAACAGCACGCTGAAGTCACCAAGGTTGCCGAAGCCGTTGCTGGAGAACTTCCGGACGTGCTCCTGCTTGTGGTTCTTCAGGAAGTCCCCCAGCAAGCCCTTCTCCCTCATGGTCTCCCGGATAGACTTGAGCTTCTTCAGGGGGATCCTGTAGTGGCAGTGTGTCAGGGCGCATCCCATCTCCAACCGCGGGCCGCCACCTCCCTGCCACTGTCCCCGCCGAGCCTCTTCTTGGGTGTCTCTGCCTCTGTCCTAACGCTGTTCTCTGCCCCCTCTGCTCTCTCTTTCTTCCCCTCTCCTCTTGCTTGCAAAGCTCTTCTCTGCGCTTGTTCCAAGATTTAGAAGATTTAGACAGCTCTGTTCTTCTCCTGTACCCGCCCGCCCCATCCCAGGCATCCACTTGTTCTCCAACAGCCTATAAATTGCTTCCTGGAAGGGATTTTGGACATTCTGCTTTTTCAGGATAAATGCTTTTTCTTTTTTTGAGACAGGGTCTTGCCATGTATTCTACTGACCTCCAATTTACAGCAATCTTCCTGGCTCAGCTTCCTGAGGACTGAGATTACAGGCATGCACCATCACCTGCAGCTCAGGATAAGTGTTTTTGGTTTGTTTGTTTGTTTGTTTTTGTTTATTTTATTTTATTTTATTTTTGAGACAGGGTCTCACTATGTAGCTCAGGTTGGCCTTAAACTCATGGCAATCCTTCTGCCTCAGCCTCCTGTGTGCTCGGATTACAAGCCTATGCCACCATGCCCCACTACTGGGAAAAGTGCATTTAAAAGAAAAAAAACAAGGCCAGGCATAGTGGCACATACCTGGAATCCCAGCACTCAGGAGGCTGAGGCAGGAAGGTTGTTTTGAGTTTGAGACCAGCCTGGGCTACAAAGTAAGCTCAAGGCCAGCCTGAACTGCATAGCAAAACCCTGTCTCAAAAAGACCAAAAAAAAAAAAAAAAAAAAAAACAGTTCTCAAAAATGGCAAAGTTCACTCCAAAGGCTGCCCCTTGCTCCAGTGGTCCTCTGGCACTGGCACCAGCTAATATAACCGGGGCCTGGAGCAAGGGAGACAGCACTCTCTCCATCTCTACTGCTAACCACATGGTCTGGGCCCATCGCTCCGTTTCTCAGGACACTGGGTCCCCTGGGCAGGTGGCCTGGGAGCTCCAGAGTTGGAGCCTCTGAGTCATGGGTTCTGCCCCTGACCCCACGACAGCTCAGTCCCCCTTGGCTGCCCCCCTGCAGCTCTGTGGCTGCATTGCCCACCGGTCTCTGCGCATGACCGGCGCTGCTCCAGGATCTACAGTTCCTGCTGCTTTCTCTTCTTTCCCCACCTTCATCCGAATTCGCCCACATTTTCCAGAAGCTTTCAGCTAAACCCTTCCTGAAAGCTGCGAAGACTGTGACCAGCTTGGTACCAGCCACTTCTGCCAAGTTTGCCTGTCAGGCCGTATTTCTGCCAAAAGCCAGTTGTTAAGCTAAGGAATCACTACCTTTCCTGGATGTCCATGGGTCCCAGGAGCCCCTACAGGCACCCAAATCTGGATGCTAGCCGGGCATGGTGGAGCACACCTGTAATCCCAGCACTCGGGAGGAAGAGGCAGGAGGATCCCCATGAGTCTGAGGCCAGCCTGGCTACATAAGTGAATTTGAGGCCAGCCTGGGCTACATAAAGAGACCCTGTCTCAAAAAAACCCGTAAAACAAAACAAAACAAAATCCTCGCCGGGCATGGTGGCGCATGCCTGTAATCCCAGCACTCGGGAGGCTGAGGCAGGAGGATCCTTGCAAGTTCGAGACCAGACTAGGCTACAAACCGAGCTCAAGGCCAGCCTGAACTGCATAGCGAGATCCTTTCTCAAAAGACAGAAAAAAAAAAATCCTCATGACACTACATTGTTTAGGAATAATGACCCCCAAAGTGTGTACATATCAAATTACAGATGCAATTTTTATTTTAAGAGTTCAATCCAAGGTTGATTGTGTGGCTGAAGGCAGAACCCACAGATACCAAAGGCCATGGTGGAACAGCAGGCAGGTGTGGGCTGGGAGCCCTCCTGATGTTCCCCGTCATGCCAGCTCTCCACCTCAAGTGTCCTCCTGACACCTCAGGGTATGGAGATGCACATGGTCTTGTGTTTCTGCTTACATAAGTTGGGCATCTGCCAATCAATTTGGGGCCTCTAGGAAATTTTTGTTTCTGTGGGGGGCACACACCCACCTCTGTGAGGCTGAGGCAGGAGGATCACAAGATGGAGCCCAGCCTAGGCAACTTAGGGAGACCCCATCTTTTTTTTTGTTTTGCTTTGTTTTTTCCGGTACCGAGGATCGAACTCACAACCTTGCGCTTGCCGGGCAGGCGCTATGCCACTGAGCTAAATCCCCAGCCCTAGGGAGACCCCATCTTGAAACAAAACATTTTAAAAGGGGTTGGGATGTAATAAATTGTGACAGCCCTGGATTCTGTCCCCACCACCACACGTACATACAAAATGAACATTTTAGAAAGAATTATTTTGCTCCTTGTCTAAAAAGAGATAAGGATAAACCACAGTCACCATTCAGGGGTGGCTTGGGCAGTCGTCCTCTCTCCTCTCCCTGTTTCGGGTCCCTCTTTTCCTCAGCTGGGGGACCCACTGTGCTGGCCCTTGGCTAGATCTTTCCTGATGGCAGGGCGGGCTGTGTCGCCCCACCCGCTGGGTCCTGCACAAGCCCGGAGAAGGAAGCCTTCTGTCCCGGAGAGACACACCGGTGCAGAGCTGCGGGCCCTGGCTCCGCTGCCCCCTGAGGGCTGGGGCTCCCTTCCCAGCTCCTGCACTAGCCCAGGCCCCAGACTTACTTGATCTGTGTCGCCTCAGAGAGTGGCAGGCACAGCAAGGCCACTATCACCCACTTCATGATCTTGGTTCCCAGCTGCTCGAGGAGGAGAAGCCGCCTGAGTTCCACTGCGACCGTGGAGTACAGACCTGGGCGCCTCTGAGTCCTTTATACCCCAGGCCCCAGCCCGGACCCCGCCCCTGTCCTGGGCAAGCGTGACCCCACGCCGGGGGGTCCGCAGGGCCCCAGTATCAGTGGTTTCTGTGTGTCTTTCCCTCTGGAGCGTGGCCACAATAGACTTTTCATCTTATTGACTTTTCAATTCAAGCAACGGAGGCCAGGAGGTACAGTGATAAGCGGAACAAAGGGGCCGGAGGCCGGAGAAGTAGAGATTGCTTCTCGTCCAGGAACTTCTCGTCCACCGTTCGGAGCCGTGATGTGGGCATTCTGGGGCGAGGGCCAGGCAAAGATAGGCAGAGCCAGGGAGATGGGTGATGGACCATCCGACATCTGGGGACAGATGATGCTCTGTCCTGGGCACTGTCCCGTGTGCTGTGGGACACTGGGCCACATCCCTGGCCCCAGCCCCCCAGATGCGAGGAGCAGCCCCCAAGGTACAACAACCAAAAACATCTCTAGGTATTGCCTGTTGTCGCCTAAGAGGGACCAAGTCACAGAGAACCACTGGCCCATAGGTGACACCCTCGCAGGTCTGGCTCAGGTCCTGGCCCCCAGCACCCCGAGCCCTTGGGACACCTGGGGACGGTGGTGACAGCAGTGGTGGCGGTGAGGGTGGTGCTGATGGTGACGGCAATGTGTGGGTACACTGGCGCGGGGGTGGCGGAGGGCAGTGGCTGAAGTTGGAATTATCTGGGGCCGCTTTCAGGACTTTCAAGGTCAGACAGTATTGGGAGTGATCCCTGTCCCAACCAGGCCCTTGTGCAGCACATACACACTGTCAGCCATGCTGGCTCCCGGTTAGGCATGGAGCAGAGACCCAAGGAGGTGCTGTCACCTCGTCTCCCTCTCCTCCACCCCCCCGACTTCCTTCCCCATCCTGCTTCCCAGCTGCATGCTTTGAACCCCTGGGGTAACCTGGAGCCTGGAACGGGGGCCACCAACCTGGCCCAACAATGCTCTCTGGTTTGGGGAAGGGGAAAAAGTGCCCCGCCAGGACCTTCTGTGCCATCTCTCGCCTGCACCCAGATTTATCATTCCCTCGGGGCCCCAGGAAGAAAGCCAGGATCGGACCTGCCAGCCGCTGCACTCCTCTGGCAGTGGGGGATTCGCTACTCCCGCCACCACCAGAGCTCTGCCCAGCCAGAGCACTGGAGGGTCCCGGGCCCTAGGATGGGCAGGGAGGGAGGACTCAAAGTTCCTGGGCCTGGCACAGTGAGAGAGGTCCCTGCCTGTGAGGTTTCTGCAGTCCCCAGAAGCACACTGAACTCTGGGGGTAAGGGGTGGGAGGTAAGATAGAGCTGTCTTCCCTGGGCTGGGGGACCCCCAGCTTGGGACAGTAAGAAAAACAAAGTTATAGAATCCTTGGAGTTTTTCACAGAATCCCCTAAGTCGCAGGACTTCTAGGGACCCGGCCAGCTGTCCCCAGACCACAGTCATGCCACATCCTGCTCTGCCCAGGCACCTGCAGCCTTTGCCCACCTAACCTGACCTTCTGACCACTCGAGCAGTCCCCTCAGGGGCCCTAGACATCCCAAGTTCTCTTCCACTGTCCCTACCACCCCACCCCTCATATCTAAGATGCCCACTTTCTACTTGTCAGGAATCTGCGGAGCCTGGGGACACCTTGGAAGTCATCCAGGGCCACCTGCTACCTGCTACAGGAGCCCCCAAAAGCCCGGCTCTCTGATTCTCAACCAAGTTCATCTTCTACCCTGACACGGGACGCCCTGCTGTCCCACCCATGGCACAGGCCTTGCACTGTCCACTTGCTTCCTGGGGATCGCGCTTCCTTCCGCAGACTAGAAGCCTTCAGAGGACAGAGCAAGATTCTGTACCCCTATGCCTGGCCCAGGGTCCCAGAAATCATGAGTAGTGGGTGGAGCTCTTAGGATGGTTCTCGAAGGAGGCTTGGCTGTACCCCGCCCCGTTATCGCAGTCCTCACATTCCTACCCTGTACCCCAGGTGATTTCTTGGGAGATCCCTGCCAGAAAGGACCTCAGGCCCTCTCTCTCTTCAGCCTCTGTCTCATTCTCTCTGAGCTTCACCTGCACAGAAATTCAAAGTCTGGTCTCTAGAAGGAGCTCAGTCAGGTCTCTTCAACATTTCGTTGTCTTTTTTTCTTTCTTTCTTTCTTTCTTTTTTTTTGAGATAGGGTCTCACTATACTGTTCAGGCTGGCCTTGAGCTCACTTTGTAGCCAAGGCTGGTCTCAAACTTGCAACGATCCTCCTGCCCCAGCCTCCCAAGTGCTGGGATTACAGGCGTGCACCACCACACCTGGCTATATCTTCAACATTTCAAAGCTCATCTTCCATCACTAACCTGTGCAGGAGCCTTGCTTTGTCCCAGGGGGACAAGGTCCTCCAGTGTCCATGCCTTTATCCATGCCACCCCACCCCAAAACCACCTCATTGCCCATAAACAGCACCCCCAGTGTGCAGAACTCTGACTTTCTTCCCCTAATGGCCTCGTACATCCCAGTGATTTGCCCAACTTATAACTCCTACAACTTATAACTTTTAAGAAGACCTCTTCCTGCTCTTTAAGTAGCACAAAGACTTCTTTCAGAAGGTTCACAAGTGACACTGGGAAGTGGGAGTGACAACAGCATAGCATGGATGTGGTTACTGCCTGCACACCACTCATGGCAGACATCATTAGTCTATCCTGTTGCTTTTTCCTACCCTCCACCCATGGCAGACATCACTAATCTATCCTGTTGCTCTTTCCCACCCTCCACCTATGACAGATATTACTAGTCTATGCTTTCCCACCCTTCACCCATGGCAGACATCATAAGTCTATCATGTCAGTCTTTCCCGCAATGCTCAGACAGAGCTCTAGAATCTGTCCCAACCTAGTGTCATTTGAAGCCTTCCTCAGTATATGAGGAAATGGTCATCCCTCATTCCTCCAACGTGGGATTTTTTTAAACTTATGCATGCTAAGTTTTATTTAAAATTCTAAAGCCAGGCATGGTGGCTCACTCCTGTAATCCCACCATTTGGGAGGCTGAGGCAGGAGGATCACTGCAAGTTTGAGGCCAGCCTGGGCTCTATAGTGAGTTCAAGGCCAGTCTGAAATACATAGTGAGACCATGTCTCAAAAAAACAACAAAAAATTCCATACAGATAGCACTTAAAAAAATCAAGGTGGGGCTGGGAATGTAGCTCAGTGGTAGTGTTTGCCTAGCGTGTGTGAGGTCCCAGGTTTGATCTCCAGTACTAAAAGAAAAAAAAAAAGATTAAAAAAATCAAAGCAATTTGAAAGCATGGCTGTTTGCACCTTTCTAAATTATCTTCCAGCCCGTATCGTACACACTTCGATTTTAAGGTAACTGTGATTTTTGTGTAAATACAACTTCTGTTCTGCTCTTATCACATGGACTACGGCACACACACTTTTCCATGCATTAAGATAGGCACCTTCTTATCGCCTTTGTGGTTGTGTGGGTGCCATCATCTTGGTATCTAGGCCTACTTGGCCCTGTTCATTTGGGTTATTTCCAGTTCTCACTGCTATCAGTAGCCACAGCACTCGCAAACAAAAACTCATCCCAAGGAGTGGAGCAGTGCACCATCCTTGACCAGGGATGGTGGAGCAGAGGTGAAAGCAGCCCTTTCCAAGGAATCCTGGGAGAGGACCTCTTGCAGGAGGTGTGGGATGGGCCTAGGCAGCTGAGTTGCATTGTCTGTTCTAATCCCTGAGCTTGTCACTTCAGCTCTGGGGACAAGTGCTCCATAAACCAGAAGTTTTTAGTAGGCATCCTCATGAATTTTTAATTTTTAGTTATGGTTTAAGCTGTTTTCTTTTCCTTTTTTTTTTTTTTTTTTTTCTTTTCTCCTGAGCCAGGGTCTCACTATGCAGCCCAGCCTGGCCTCAAACTCATGGCGATCCTCCTGCCTCAGCTTCCCAAGTGCTGGAATTACAGATGTACACCACTACACCTGACCGAGATTTGTATTTTGGCAAATTCAAGAGATTATGCTTGTTTAAAAAATTTTGACACAGCTTTAGACTTTCAGAAAAGCTGCATAGTACAGAGTTCCCGCATACATTCCAGTCTGCATCCTGTAATTTTTTTTGTTCATTTGTTTTTTGGTACCAGGAATGGAACTCAGGACCTTGCACTTGCCAGGCAGGTGCTGCGCCCCTGAGCCATACCCCCGGCCCTTATATCCTCTAATGTTAACATCTTAAATAACCACGGGAAAATGGCCAAATCCAGGAAATTAATCTTGATACTGTTAAGTAACCCACAGACTTCATTTAAATTTCAATAATTGCCACACTAATGTCCTTTTTGCTGGTCCAGGCTCCAAGCTAGGCTCTCATATTGCATTTAGTTTTCATTTCAATTTCCTGCAATCTGAGCTAGCTCCTTTTTTTCTTTGTTTTGATGGACTTACTTGGTTTTTTGTTTGTTTGTTTGTGGTTTTTTGGTACTGGGGATTGAACGCAGAGCCTTTGCACTGAACTACATCCCTAATCCTTTTTAAATTTTGAAAATAAATAAACAAATAAATTTTGAGACAGAGCCTCCCTACATTGTCAAATTTCCCCGGGCTGAGCTTGAACTTGTGATCTTCCTGCCTCAGCCTCCCAGGGTGCTGAGATACAAGCATGTACCACCATGCCTAGTGACTTTTTTTTTTTTTTTTTTTTTTAGTTTTTTGGAGAGTGTCTCACTATGCAGGCAGGCTTTCAACTGACTATGTAGCCCAGGCTGGCCTTAAACTCCTGGCAATCCCCCTGCCTCAGCCTCCAGAATCCTGGGGTTACAGGTGTACACCAACACGCTTGGCTGATCTTTCTACTTCTAAGCTATCCTGGCCAGTTTCTTTGTAGACTGCAGGTGACTTTGTTTATGCGAATGACTAGACAACAGGCATGCATTCTGCGGGGCAACGCGCAGAGGCGGGGTACCCGGCTCAGCGTCCTACATCAGCACGCAGGAATATGGACGCGTTTTATTACCAGCAATCCAACCTTGATGGCTTGGTTAAGGTGAGGTCCACCAGGCTGCTCTTTGCCACCGGTCATCAGTCAGTATCTTCCCGGAAGGTCGCTTGAGACTGTGTGGGTCCCTGTTCCTCATCCTTCTTCTGCACACTAATTTCACCATCTGGCAGTGATTCTGCCCGCAGCAGCCACTGCATGGCATTCACCTCATCTCCATCATTCCTCTGCGTGTGTGAGCTGGGGTTCTGTTGGGAGGCAGAACAGGGCTTAAGGCTTGAAAATGGGCTCTTTTTCCCCCGCCCACCGCTCCATCAGAGGTCGGCCAAGTGGAGCTCGGCCGACAGCTCCCAGACAGGCTATCTTGTCCCCTCCTGCTGAGGACCCCATTTATCCGTCTATGTCTCAGACATCTGGAAAGCAATCTGTATGTGGATAAAAGGATAAGCAGAGAGATGCCTGTTTCTTCTCCGGTCTATTGATTAACCTACCCCTGCTTGGGCTCAGGTTGTACTTTGGGTAAGGGGTGGATGAGGGCGTGGCACAGAGCAACCCAGCTACAGGAAGGGGCAGAGTGGGGTGGCGTCTCCGGATCAACCAGACTGATCCAACACTCCAAGGACGCTTCCCCTGTTTCTCAAAACGGACCAACAGCCACTGAGTTTTACATTCCCAGAGGAAGTGTGAAACCAGCATGCCTAGGGAAGCTCTCCGATTGGCCCCTTGGGTCAGGTGCCCACCCCTGGACTAGTCAGCTGTGGCCAGCAGGTAAGGTGGGGAGCATTTTGAATAATATGGGTGGAAGTGGTCAGAAATAAGTCCCTAAGAGGCAGGGGTGTTTCTGGACACATGAAGTCAGCAATGCCCACACTGCTTGGTTGCTGGTGACAGATGGACCTTACTCCTAGCTCCCCATTCACAAATCTTTGCACGTATAAAGTAGGTAGCATGTGATCTGCAAGTCACTTAACTTTAGAACACCGATCTCCACCACTTCTTGGGTGTGTTTGTTTGTTTTGCAGCACCGAGGATTGAACCCAGGGCCTTTGCACTGAGCTACATCCCAGTCCTTTTTTTTTTTTTTATTTTGACACAGGGTCTCACTAAGTTGTTAAATGGCCCAGGTTGGACTCAAACTTTCAATCCCCCTGCCTCAGCCTCCAAGACTACCGGGATTACAGACGTGTTCCACTGCACCCAGAATTTATGGCTCTTTGATCCCAACAATGCACTTCCCTTTCTGATCCTCAGTTTTTCCTCTGTTGAATGGTATAATAATCCTTGCCCTGCCACGATGCTGTGTAATTCAGTCATTTCCGCAATTCTGGAACTGTCAGTGCAGAGCCCGCGGAGTCCAAATCTCGTTCTTTACACTGGGCCGAGGGCGAGGTGACAAATCACCTGTGGGGGGTGCCGGTGCTATTGTTTCTTGCTCTGTGTACCGGTGACAGTTGCACAGGTCTGTTCCCTTTGTGAGAAGTCAGCGAACTGTGTCCCAGACAGGTGCACCTGCCTGTGTGTGTGTTAGTCTTCCATAAAAAGTTGTATGCAATCGCAGTTTTAAAAGAAGAAGGACTGGGTGTGGTGGTGCACACCTGTAATCTCAGCACTCTGGGAGGCTGAGGCAGAAAGATGGTGAACTCAAGC